CGGCCTTCAGCGACGAATACAGCTCATAAACCGAGGTTCCGCTGTAATTCCAAGGAAGAAAAACAAAAAGAAGATTGTCTCAAAGACAAGTTAAGTTTCCTCTATGAGATCTGATTTTGGGGGAAGAATAATAATAAATAATAAAGCACCAAAGACCTGGTTTTCCTACTGACTTGACACAGCGTCACAGAGAGACAACATGACATTACAATGATATGGCCTCGAGAGTGTGTTCAAGATTCGAGAGATTCGTGAGTTTTATTGGCCACAGAGACAGAACTGTTGACAGTATGAGCAGAATAATGACAAAATAAAAAAAAATAATAATAAAGAAGCTGTGAAATGTTAAAGAATTTTCAGCTGCAGGAACTGTTTTTAGGAGCGGGAGGCGAATGACTTCTCCGCTCCTTCGGACGATTCCGGGTTGGAACAAAGAAATCTTTTTGGCTTCCATTATTCTGGTTGTGAAAGGTGTTAATTTGGCTGTGAGCTGTACTGAGACTCATTATGGCAGCTGGTGTTGTTTCAGTGCGGTAAACTATAATTACTGGTAAAAGTCTTTGGTGACGACCCAAGAAGGATGGAAAAACAACTTCTGGTTTTTTTTGTTTTTTTTTTTTGTTTTTTTTTTGCAGTTCAGAGATATTCTGGACACATGTGCTTCTGTGAAAACAGCTACACTTCTGACAATGAACCACTGTGGTTCATTGTCTCCATGCCCATAACAACCGTAGGGTTAGAGGTCAGGGTTAACCATGTTACACAGAGAAACATTTTTTTTCTTTCTCTTTTAATTAAAGGCGAAGCTCTCAATTTACCGGTCGATCTACGTCCCTACCCTCACCTATGGTCATGAGCTTTGGGTCATGACCGAAAGAATGAGATCAAGGATTCAAGCGGCTGAAATGATCTTTCTCCGCAGGGTGGCAGAGCGCTCCCTTAGAGATTGGGTGAGGAGCTCTGTCACACGGGAGGAGCTCGAAGTAGAGCCGCTGCTCCTCCACATCGAGAGGAGTCAGCTGAGGTGGCATGGACATTTACATTACATGCCCCCCGGACGCCTCCCTCGGGAGGTGCTCGGGTCATGTCCTACTGGGAGGAGACCCAGAGGAAGACCCAGGACACGCTGGAGTGACTATGTCGCCTAGCTGGCCTGGGAATGCCTCGGGATCCTCCCAGAAGAGCTGGAGGAAGTGTCTGGGAGAGTGCGGATGATAATGGATGGATGGATGGATGGGTATACAATGACTTATAGATGGCCGGAGGACGAGGATAAATCATGTTCTGCTCCAGGCATTTAAACTGCGCTCCATCTGTCTGTGCATGAAATCCTGGCAGCAGCAGTACAGCAGAAAAACAGAAAACTGTGGGCAAACAAAAGGAACCATACCGGTGGAAAATGTTAGAAATGAATAAGTGGCAGTTACACTTGAAAAGCCATCGGTTACGTGCTTATAACGTGAGTCAGAGTGGGAACTTTGTACCGGTCCGTTTATTGCAGGGAGCTGTTATTTATAGTACAGTCTAAATCACGTCATCATTAAAATTTCCGTTACTTTTAATGTTTTTTTTTTAAATGATTTACTTCCTTTTCCATTCTTTTTTTTTTTAATTCCTCAATTTATTTCACTTTACAATCAACCTTCAAATGATATAAAGATGAAGGACATGGACAATGACAGGGCTGAGCCTGTTCTCTGTCTCAGGTGTAACACTGCAATAACTGCAATTACAAACCCAGAAACACAACTCATGATTCTCATGCAGGCTCACGATTATGTAAATAAGACGTCTGGGACTGTCTGAGTTAAGGTTTGCAGTGAATTCTCCTCTACATTTTCACCAATTTACCAAAAAGCTGATTAATTGCCTGTTTCTTCCGAATTGTTTTTTTACCGGTAATTTAAATTACAATTCACAACCACCACTCACCAACACTGAAGGAATGTTATATTCAGTGGCTTACACTGATAAAGACGAAAAGCAGAACATAATCACTCTGCCCCTGGTGTACAAAAGAGGCATTGCAGCCAGTTTACTTTGGGGTGTTACTCATCAGATCGTCAACTGGTCGGCTCTAACTGCGTGGATCCGACCGGTTCCTTCATATTATTGTTAACATGTTAGCTCAATGTGCTAGCAAGTGCAGACAGATAGACAGAGAGGGTTCTGTTTAAGTCTACACTGAGCTGCAGAAGAGAAAGATGACCTGTAGATACTGTCTCCTTGTCCACATCTCCATAGCCTGAAACATTGGGTTTACAGCATGGACTTGACAGAAGTGCTCACTGTTCTTATTACATTGGGAGGCCGAATGCTAACCACTGCCATTATAATTACAGACTGCACATTTACATGTTCTGGAAAGAAATGACACCAGTCAGATGTGGTGTGTAGTTAAAGATGACGAACAGGATTTGGGAAATGTTGAAAAGTTGAGACCCTTGTCAACTGGAAGACAGATGAAATGATGTCAGAAAACAGTAGATGACATTTTTACCTCTTCATGTCTGGGTTGAGGTGTTTTGATTTGTCAGTCTCTCTCTTTTTTTTTTTTTCATGTCCACGCTTGTCTACTCACTGCACTGTTTTAAAAAGGTCTTGGAGGTATTTCAGCAAATCTGATACAGACATTGAGCTGCTGTATGGTCTGAAATTATATTAATTATATAATAATGATAATAATATAATAAGGTTAGCACTCATTGGGTTATTTGTCCCTGACATTTTCTTACCTTGTCAAAACTACTGATTCGACTCCTGCTGTAAAAAGAACTCTACTTTCCCATAGATCAACGTCTAAAGTTATAAACTGAAGCTAATGAGTCTGTCACCAGTGGTGGGGAAATCACATACAAAGATATTTGATTAGTTCTGGTGCTGTTTACCAACATATACAAGTATGAACTAATAAACAAGGTCGTTGTTTTGTTTTTATTTTTCTCTCTCAACAGAATGCGTTTCTACGTCGTGGAAGTTCCAGAGGGGATGGGACGATGCTAACAGGACCTAACCGGAAAGGGTCAGTGGTTCGTGGCGATTTATTTGTGGTGGATGAAGACACAGAGTTATTGGATCGGATCTTGCAGAACGGTGACCAGAGGAAACAGTCAAGAAACGGAGGAAACCAGAAGGAGACGTCTTCCAAAAATCTGGAGGAGAACATCACCACGGAAAAAAAACTTGATTCAAATGGAAGGACTGCAGTTCTGTTCCCAGGAAAACCCACTGATGATATTATTGACCTGGATACAGCAGGCACAGAAAAGAAGCCCTCGTCAGTGTTTCCTGGACCCTCTAAAATCCCTTCGCTGCCAAGAACACCTGCAGATGCAGAGGAAACAAAAGAACAGACAGAAAGTCAGACAAGGACTAATGTTTTAATCTCTGTCAGTGAGCTGGACGCAGAGAAGCCCAGTATGGTGACTATCATATCTGTAGAGCAGGACCTGGTCCGGAGCTCCGATGGTAAGATGTACCGACTGAAGAGGGGACCACCGGGCCCAGCAGGTGATCCAGGCCCTGAGGTGAGTGGTCTCAGGATACTTTTTTTGCCCTGATGTCTTTGTTTTAAAACCGTTGTGCAGAGGCAGAGATGGTCCTGTTTTTTTAACCCTGTTCAAGTCCTCATCTTTCTCGTTGTAGTCTATCACACGTTTATTACACTGTAGACACCAGCAGAATAATTGAAGAGGTCTTTGCTTCGGAGCACATGTTTATACTTTGTCTCACAGAGCCTTCACACCTTCCTTTGGACCAGTGGTCTCCAAGCTTTTCTGTGCCACAGACCAGTTAAATGTCACAGATCGGCCTTTAATAAAATGATACCACCGGCATGCAAACCGGTATTTTCTAAATATAATAATAAACCTTAAGCCACTGGATCTGCAACTTTATCATCAGCGTCCTTGTAACATCGCTTGTCTTTAAATGCAGAACGCTTGGTCTCAAAGTGACAAATCAGTTTTGACGGCCTCATTAGAGAGACGTTCAAATTATGCAGAGTGGGAACAACCTGTCACAATAAATCTATATTTCCAGTAGGACTCCTGGAATTGTTCTTTAAAGACGAAAGAAACTTTCCAAAGATTTTTTGGATGTTTTTTGTTCATTTTGCTAGCTTAGGGGTTTCAATTTAGTGACAATGTGTGATGCGTTTTTGGCCGAGAAGGTAGCGGATGCGGGTAAGACGTGACCGAGGCAAGCATCTTGTATCAAGTGTGAGCCATAGGCAAATTATGCAGCTGATTCTGCAATGCAGCTGCATTTTTTCTGTGCAGCCTGGTACCAATTAACCCACTGACCGGTGCCAGTCCATGGCCCAGGGGTCCACTACTTTAGAGTACATGAATAGGACTGCAGAAGAAGACAATAACGGGGGGAGGGAGGGGGACTACCATTGCTCTTGTCTAACAAAGAGAAAGACCAAAAAAGTCTTTGTCTGAACTTGGAGAGTGAGATTCATTCATTGTGTTTCAGGGATAACGTTGTTTTAACCCCATCATTTTTAAACAATTTGTTAATAAAGCTAAACATGTTTATTTTTACACCCAAAATCCAACGGAGACTCTAAAAGAATTCATAAAAAACAGTTCTTTTTATGCAGGCGTGACTGGTGTGTCTTTAATAAGGAATTACTGTTGTTCCATGGCAGTGTTGTGGACGTCCTTAGCCAAGGTTCCCCACAGCGTTACAATAAAGTTGATGTATTATATCAGATAAAGCAGGACGGACCTGGTGTTCGGGGAATGTGTGACGTCTGCTTGTACTTTAACAACTTACAAGAGCTGTTCTCCATAAGCTGCCATCTGACTTTGATCAGACGAGGATACGCCTCTGAAACATATGTTGATTCACGCGTCTTTGATGCTCCCACGTGAGCACTCTGAGACCCGTGTGCTTAACCAGTCGTTGCACTTTTATTCATGGCCTTACACTGATTCATGGTTCAAACTTTAGACTGCTGACATACCACATCAGAAAATGGAATTTATGACATCGGGCTTTACCTGGTGCTGAAGTTGTCGCAGCAGCTTTCAGGAAAGACAGAACCAGACCTAGAACCAGCAGGCGCATCTGGTCTTGTCTGGGCTGGTCTCTGGAGTCACGCTGCTGTAAAACACACACGGGCTCTCTTCAGCCGGACGGCAGTGATTAAAGCCTTGAACGAAGACGTCCTGTCGGCTGTGCTCTCCTGCGGTACAGTCCAACAGCTCTTCTCATAACATACAGTAGACGAGCCTGCAGCATTGTCCTGACACCAGTACCAGTGTTATGTCCTTAGTTACAATAGAGGATTTTTCCGTCTTAGTCTCAGAAGGTCTGACTGGCAGATGGAACACACGAAGCAAGTGCAGTGTTTCTCATCAAACAGCTCAGTTAACAGTTTACTTTCACTAATGACTTCAAATGCTATCAAATGGAACAACTCAGTTTGTTGTGGAACGAAGTACCTGTTCTGTAACACAAGAACAAGAACACTATTTATTACAATGAACTGAAGGTTCCCACATAAATAACAACGTCTGGGAGAAAATGTGATTTTGTTTTTGTTTGTTTGTTTGTTTGTTTGTTTGTTTGTTTGTTTGAAGCCAAATGCTTGACAATGAAGGACAATGAATTTATGGACGTTATGTAGTTATTGTTCTCTAAAGTTGTAGATGTTGGGTCACAACACACAGGGCTCATTGATTCATTACTGCCTCTGTCATCAGTTCCAATGTGTCATCTGCTGTAACAAGAACTGTTTCTTCGTATCGTAAATCCTGTCAAAGTGTGTGTAATATGACGTTTATATTTTCATAACATTTAATTACTGGTGTGGTCTGAATGTCAGTACAGTTCTGCTCTATTCAAATCTCATTCAGTTTAATGGTCTTCCATTGTATGTCCCGCCCTGTCCTGTTCAGTCCTGTCCCCTCCTTTACTTCTTGTTCTATCCTATCCTGTATTGTCCTGCCGCCTCCTCTACTGTCCTCTACTGTCCTGTCCTCTTCTGTCCTGTCCTGTTCTGTCCCATCCTGTTCTGCCCTGACTGTAGTATACTGTCCTGTACCATCCTGTATTGTTCCCTTCTCCCCCCTCCTGTTCTGTCCTGTCCTGTTCTGTACTGTTCTAACCTGTCATGTACTGCCCTGTCCCCTCCTGTTCTGTCCTGACCTGACTGTGCTGTCCTGTCCTGTACCGTCCTGTCCTATATTGTACCGTCTTGTTCTGTCCCATCCTGTGCTGTCCTGTACTGTCCTGTCCTGTCCGGTTCTGTACTGGTCTGTACTGTCCTGCCCCCTCCTGTCCTGTCCTGTCCAGTTCTGTACTGTTCTAACCTGTCTTGTACTGTTCTGTCCCCTCCTGTCCCCTCTTGTCCCCTCCTGTCCTGTCCTGTCCTGTTCTGTACTGTTCTAACCTGTCATGCACTGTCCTGTCCCCTCCTGTCCTGTTCTGTCCGAACTGCACTGTGATGTCCTGCACTATCCTGTACTGTCCCCTCCTGTTCTGTCCTGACCCGCTTACCCTGTTCTGACCTGTACTGCCGTGTCCCCTCCTGTACTGTCCCCTTGGCAGCTCCTTTGTCTATGTGATCTAAATTTCAGTCAGTTGTACAAGGACCAAGTATTTCTATTACTTTGTACTCACCATTTCAGTGGTGTAAAAATATTATTTTAATGTGTCGGTTAAACTGCATTCTTTTTACATGCTGTCTTTTCAAGCATTTTATTGCAAGTTGTTACTTTCTCCACAGGGCTGTCCCGGTGACCCTGGTCTGCCTGGGTTCAAAGGTGACAAGGTGAATTCATGTTATTTATGACATAATAGCCTGTGATGATGTTTAGAGTTGTGTAGAAGTGCAGCACTGTTGTTAAAGGACAATTTCAACCTAGAACTCTTAAAATCCAGGAACTGCAATTGCGATGATGTCATGTCTTAAATACTAACAATATTAACTATCACTTATATGATCATATTGCACCATTAACTCTTCTTCTGTGATAGGGAAAAACAGGGCTGGAAGGCCGACAGGGGAAAAAAGGGGAACAGGGACTTCCTGGGCCTGCAGGTTTGCCAGCCCTGTACCTGTGGAAGAACACTGCTGAGGAATGGGCTGCTTTCCAGGTGAGATGACGATCACAGGTCAATGTATTTGAAAACGTGTCGCTGTCTTTTTACAACATGAATAGAGCTAAGAGTTAACCTAATCCTAAAGACATTTGAATGATGTCTTTTCTTTAAAGTCCTTCGTTATCTGAGGTAGAAGGAGGAAAGAACACTCTTGCGCTTCAATGTGGATCGAAGTACAAAGAGACAGAACCATCACAGTTAGTGTCTACTGTGGGACAGTTCTCTAACTCTAACCCATTTGAAATGAAGAGAACCATTTGGCGCTCTTCTCTTTTTCTAACCTTGTGTGTGATTTAATGTTGGTCTGACACACTTCACATCAAATGGTCCTCTGAGTGCTTGGTCACACACACACACACACGTGTTGTGTCCTCATCAACAAGAATTGACTCTGCAACCCTTCTTCCTGCAGCAAACCAACTTCTACCAGTTGCTTCGTGCTGGTTGGCCTGTAAGTACACTGTGATGATTATTACATATTATTATTGTTGTTGTTGTTGTTTCACTCTGGTTGACCACAGATTGGTTTCTTCCTAGAGTCAAGAAGGTGTTCCGGGACCCCATGGAGAGATGGGCAGGACAGGCATACGGGTGAGCAATAGAATTCATTTGGTTTAGATCCAAATACCAAGGACAATTCATCTGGTGTTTGTAAACATTGTGATTTTTCTTGATCCTAATCTGGTGTTTGTAATCACAATGTAAACATTGTGATTTTTCTTGATCCTTCTTTTAGGGCCCTGCCGGCGAACCTGGTGATCGAGGACATCCTGGGGTACCGGGAGAAATGGTACACATCCCACTGTCACTCCATTTAAAACGCGTAGTGTTTGTGACCGACATTCTGTCTCCCTGTCACTGCGGTAACCTCCTTATTCACTCCAGTGTTAGGCTAGTTTAGTACTTCTCTGGTGAACACAAGTGTACCACTGCTGTAATGCTTGAATGATAACAAGCCTCCAAACACTAGGTGGCAGCAACTCATACAGTGGTACAGATAGAAAAAAACGACCTTCATTGAAAAAACTCTCTACTAAGAAGCAGCTGCATAATAATAATAATAATAATAAAATAATAATAATAATGATGATAATAAAATAATAATAAAAATAAAATAATAATAAAAATAAAATAATAATAAAAATAAAATAATAATAAAAATAAAATAATAATAATAATAAAATAAAAATAAAATAATAATAATAATATAATAATAATAATAAAATAAAAATAAAATAATAATAAAAATAAAATAATAATAATAATAACGTAACAGTCAACACACAAGTCAAGTGTAAAAGTAACTTTTCGCCGTGTTTGAGAACTGTGGGTCAGTGTCTCAGTTTAAAGAGAAGGATCAGAGAGAACGTCCCACATGGACCACACTCAAACACTAAAATGGAGTAACAGTCTAGTTGATTAGAGTGTGAATTAGCAGAGTTTGAGGTGAAGCCTCTGTCCTGCACATGTGAGGGATTGTTTGTCCAAAAGTTGCTTTAAAAAAAATCCCTTGTCCACCAGACCTGTTGGTGCCTGTAGGACACAGCATCCATCATGTCTGCAACACTGTTCTGTCCAATGGCAGCGCAGCTGTAGCTGAACACCTCCTCCACCTGTTTCCACAGCACAGTGGTGTGGACAGTGTGATGTTGTTGAGGTGATTAATGTCTCCTCCGACTTAAGATGATGTCTCTCTCTGTCTCTGTGTGTGTGAAGACACGTGGTATTTACAGTAAAGCACATCTGCAGACTTGTGTTTCAGTTCTACTGACAGGTTCAGTTAGACATTGTAAATATCACATGCGTCCTGATTGTATCTGTTGTTTGACAGGGAGAACGGGGTCCCAGAGGTCCTCCTGGCCCAGCTGGGGCCCCAGGCTTGCCAGGTGAAAACAGAGAGGACGGTCAGCCTGGGTCACCTGGAGCTCCTGGGTCACCGGTACGTTGACTGGATTCGCGAACAGTACAGCGTGTTTATGACCAAGATGTTACAGCTCATAAATCATCCCTTTTTTAAAAAAAAAAACATTTGGTGAAAACTTCCCTTCTCCTGCTTTTGACATCAGGGCCTCTGGGGACACAGAGGGGAACGAGGGCCCAAAGGGGAAAAGGGTGATGAGGTGAGCAATGAAGCGACACAACGAAGAATCCCAATTCAATATCCTGTGTTTTTGAGGAATCAAATATGCAGTATGTGGATTTAGAAGCTTTAGTCTGAGTCCGCCAACTGCAGCCATGGAACAGATTTGCTTTGACCAGAATAAAGCCTGTTTTATTCAGCAAACAGTTCTGTCATAGAAATGTTTCAGCTTTAGTCAAAAACCATGTCAAAATAAGCATAAATACATTTAGAAAGTCAGTCAGGTTACAGCAACACCTTCATCCTGAAGTTCTTTAAGTCCTATGACTTTCCGATTCTCTTGTTTTACAAAAGCAGCAGCTCTGGACCTGTGTTTTCACGCTGAAGTGCTAATTGTTCCCGGCCGACAGTCCTGGTCGTGGAATATTACAGTGTTTTCAGAAATCATGGTGGTAACTGTCCCTTCTCTACAGGGTCTTGAAGGCCTCAAGGGTCCAAGGGGGGACGTCGGTGAACCTGGTGAGAAGGTACTGGTGGTGTATTCATCCATTTCCTTTTCAATGTCAAATGTCGTTTAAATGTGTGTTCTTAACAACGCTCATATTCCATATCCTTTTTCCTACAGGGTTCGACTGGTTTATCTGGACGTCCTGGCCCAGTTGGACCAGCAGTGAGTTGTCTTTCTCAGTAACCTCCAGTCACTGTACCTCATGTGTTGTTACAGTTATATTGACAGGTTTGAGGCTTTAAGGCAATGTGCCAAACTCAGGCCCGGGGGCCAAACCTAGCCCGCAGTGTAATTATATGTGGCCCGCAAGATCATATCAAATGTGTACTAAAGTTGGCCCGCCAATATATTGACCCTATATACTGGCAGGATTTGTAGTATTAGCAGTGTATGCGCTGTTATAGCTCATCTATTGTGGGTTTTTTGTTGTCGTTGGCCTGTGAAAAACAAAATCTCATGTGTTTATAATATTAAGCTCTGGTTGTTCCAGATTTAATGTTTAAGCAGAACTAAAGGTTGTTTCCATAGAGAAACATCTTCATATCTGGAGAAAAGGGTAAACATACACAATTGCAAGCAATTTTTCAATAAATATGAAGTTTGGCCTGCGTCTTCATCCCAGTTTTTCTTTTTTTGGCCCACTGTGAATTTGTGTTTGACACCCCTTCTTTAGGGCTTTCATTTATCTGTCAATTCAGTCAAAGTCTATGCCGACACAGATTTGTGTCCTGTACCAACATTCTACTTCATCGTCCTCTGGGTTTGGTGCTGAAAATCTTTTCATTAATGGGCCACGTACTTCTTATTTTCCTTAGGGCCCTGCTGGGATTCGAGGTGGCTACGGCTCACCAGGACCATGTGGACCGGATGTGAGACCTGTGCTTTCTGACATACTTGACACACACGCACGCACGCACACACATACACACACACATCATCTCTCCTGTCTTTTACTCTCACTATGATTCCAGGGTGAAGACGGACTGCCTGGTCCTCCAGGTCTTCTTGGGCCACCTGTAAGCAAAGAAGAAGAACAATGTTATAAAACAAATACTATATTTAATGTAAATGTTGATTTTAAAAGTGTGTGTGTGTGTGTGTTTAACAGAGTGCACCAGGTATGACGGGACATGTTGGTGCTCAAGGCGTTAACGGCTCTCGAGTAAGATTGAGTACACGCAGATCAAAGTACACTTCATATGCCACCCATGTATAAAGTAAAGCACTTCACCACAGACTAAGATTTAAAAAAAAATAATAATAAAGTTATGTAATAAATGTAATTACCATAGGATTTATTTTCCAAATTGTAATACATCTAATTACCATAGGATTTATTTTCCAAATCGGGTCTGATTCTAGGGTGTCTTGTCTTTGGTATTTCCCATAATCATCTGCAAGTGATTTTATTACAAAGTGGAAGTATTTAAAAACCACAACAACTCCACCGCCACAAAGTTCCAAAGTTACTTAAAAGATCCAAAACCATGTCAGTGTGTGGATCTGAGATCCAAACCTCCTCTGGCTGAGTTTTCATGAACACATCACAAGGCTCTCTGCCAAGTGTGACATGAAGTGGTCTAATGTATTCTGGACCAGTGAATTGGAGCCATTGCATGGCTGATGGTTGATTTTCTTAAATTGACCCAGGAATCCTAATAACCCACTTATAAACCACAGCCTCCTCCTCAGTATTCTGTGGAACTTTGTGCTAAAGTTCAGTTAAGGGCCTTTTTTTCCTTAGCGTGACACAAAGACAGATCTTGTGCCCGTTAATAGTTCCCCGGCATGTGAAGTCAGCCTCAGCTTCATTACCAATGTGTGGTTTCTGGATGCTAGTCATAGACACCCATTGATCAAATGATACGTTCGAATGACACGTGACTTCAAATGTACTGTAACAGTAGATATTCTCAACATATACATGTGAAGTCCACCTCTACCAAACAGTGACAGGACTTTCACTGTGAAACTAAATTTCTTTCAGGGCGACGCTGGACCAGCTGGTACTGTTGGTCACAAAGGTCCACAGGTACACTGCCTTTGATCGATTCTTCTTCTTTCTTTTTTTTTTACCTTTGAGACATAAGGTCTTAACATGTTCTTTTCACTCAGGGTCCTCCAGGTTTGGAGGGACAGATTGGAGCTCCAGGACTTAGAGGAACACAGGTGAGTCCAGAGGAGACACAGTAGTCTGTTTGGTATTAGTCCAATCTAATTCACCTCCTCTACTCTCGTTCTGTTCTGTCTGTCTACAGGGACTGTTAGGACTGATGGGTGGTCCTGGGCCTAAAGGAGAGCCTGTGGGTCTGCCTTTGTTATCTCAGTGTTTCTATGTCTGTCTGTCTGTCGGGTGTTAACAGAAACAACACCTAGTATATGTTCCTGTAAAAACAATACATTTCCCTTCATTGTTTTTCTTTTGTTTTTGCCTTCAGGGGCCAGTAGGGCCAATGGGTGAGCGGGGGGACCCAGGATTCGAGGGGCCCATGGTGAGCTCTGTTTAAACTCGACAGTTGAATTCATTTTCTACAGCAATCACATTTCTAAAAATTAGTTTTATGTTCATCTGAACTCAGCTGAATCTTGGCTCTTATAACAACACTGTTAGCTTTTATTCCACGGCTGTGGTAAATGTAGACAAGTTGTAAAAAATGGAAATATGGAGGACTGAAAGTGGACTGAAAATTCCAATTTCAAATAAGTAACGGCACATTTAAATTTATATTTATGTATTTATTTGTTTAATGGTACATCCATCCATCCATCCATCCATTTTCATCCGCTTATCCGTTACCGGGTCATGGGGGCAGCAGTCTCCATGACCGCCACCCAAATCACACTGCACCTTGGTGTGTCCACTGGATGGTACTATTTAATGGTACATTTCTATTTAATTCCTATTTTAATTAATTAATGACATATTTAATTACGTATTTATTTATTTAATGTTGGCACTCTCAGTCCTCCATAGAAAAAGCCTTAGCTGATCATTAAGAACATGTTTCCATCCAATGAGGTCATTGAAGCATTCAACTGTTCAGTTCACAGACTCTGGTGCATTAAATTATCTATCGTTTTATACCATAGCATGCAGTAGGAATTAGGACTCCAGTCTTGTTCTTATTTTTAATTTATCGGTACTCAAAATGTGGTATTTAATGACTTTGTTAAATCACCATTTTGCTTCCGTAACACATAGTAATACCAGTGGTATTTATTGACTTTGTTAAATCCCGATTTGCTTCCGTAACACATAGTAATACCATTCTGTAACCAAACAAAGTAGAGACAGTAAAAATTAGCTTCTTTTTCTGCTGCTGGTTTCTGTAGTGGAATAAAAGTAAGAAAAGAAAACTGTGAAACTACATTAATAATAATGATAATGAGTACCTTCTTCATCCCACAATGGGGGAATTTACAGTGTGAGTCTTTGCAACTGACACAGGCTGCCGTGAGCTTGTGTCACAGACTTAAGTCAGGATTGATTGAAGTCAGTGTCTCAGTGTGAAGTGTCTGTCATTTCACAGTATTTCATTTCTAAGAACATGAGCAGAACTGCTTAACCACCCCTACAATAAACAGGATTAAACTTTGATCTGAACATCTCTGAACTCTGGTCAGTCCTCTCATCGTGTCCTGCACGTTTTGAGATCCAGTACATTCAAGAACCCTTGTAAAGGTTCTGCTTCAAACCAGATTCAAACAAGGTCCAGAACAGTCCTGCTCCTTCAGCCAAGTCAGTGTATGTAGGTTTCCTTTCAGTCCTTTCCTTTCATAGCCTGATGGCTATGTAACAATGCCACCTGCTGGTGAAATTATTTCAGTTGCTCAATCAATGACTCAGTGTGTAACATGAGAGTCACTAGTGTTCTGTCTCTCCATAGAATTTTAAAAAAATATATATATATATATATATATATTTTTTTTTTTTAATGTATTTAATACTTCTATGAACAGGGTCCTCCTGGTGTTTCCGGCCCAATGGGATTTTTGGGAAATACAGTAAGTGCTTGTTTCATTGATATGTTGACAATTACTGAAAATACATTTCAGACTGAATCTTTTTTTTAAATATTTTTCTCCTTACAGGGACACAGAGGACCAGATGGAGACAAAGGAGATCCAGGACCTAAAGGCCAAAAAGTAAGAACTATGTTTCTCTGCTTCAGTAAAAAAAAAAAGAAGAAGAAGAAACATAATTGTCAGTGAAAAGGCAACATGTCGGAACAGGTTTTTAAGATAGAAATCCAGACCTGTGTCTGGCACTGTTACTATGTTTCCTTGAGAGAACCAATAGAAAGGCTGTGTGTCTGTTCAAAAACTGTTGAGTGATGAGAAACAGTACTCGCAGCATAGACTTCAATATCCAGACATAATGTTGAACTTGAGTAGATAAACTGTTCACACACACGCACCAACTCTTGTGCCAACTGTCTGTTTGAACTGCATAGCCATATTATTTGTGTGCAACTTAGTGTTTGGTGGGGTTTTTTTTTTTTTAGGGTATTTGTGGAGCAGCAGGTATTGGGGGCCCTCAGGGAGAAAGAGGCCCCGCTGGCTTTCCAGGTTTCCAAGGTGCTAAGGGTCAACAGGGTGTCAGAGGAACTGAGGTACTGACTATACAGTAAACTTGGTGAATGCTCTTTTCTCTGTCTGTAGGTTACTTGTAAATACTGTGTACAGCGTTCCCTCTCTATATCACGGTTTTTCTTTTTGCTCCCTCAGTACATCGCAGATTTTTTTTTTTTAAATCCAATCTTGCAAAATTTTCACTATATCGCGAAAAACATTAGAAAATATTCATACATATGAAGGTTTTGGCTCTACAAATGTATAGTCTCATTTTAAAATTTGAGATAAGCGCATTTGCTAACGATTGCCGGTAGCGTTGTTTACCTAGACGAGATCATACACAGCGTACTATTGGCTAAAACTATGCGTACTCTGTGTAATATTGGCTGATTGAGCCTGCTCTTCTGTTCCTCACACTGATTGGCTAATGCATTGTAGCATCTCTCAGCATCTCCCCTTGTCTGTCGGCCACTCTCTTGTTCATTTCGCTCCTATCTCGTCTCTATTTTGCGATTTTTCCTATACAATGATGGGTCCTGGAACGCAACTACCACGATAGGAGAGGGACCGCTGTATTCTTATCAGTGTTTTGTACCTGAACAGTAAAATGTTTTTTTGTTTTTTTTTTACAGGGCCCTAATGGAGAAGCTGGCCCTCAGGGAAAACAGGGCAGTCGTGGATCAAAGGTGAATGTTCTTTGTACGTCTGAACACATAAAACTGTCAGGTGACGTCACGTGTTTCAGTTACTTCAAGTTACTGTATGTGAACCCACGGGAACATTGAAGTAGACTTCAGGTCTATTGTAGTTATAATACATGGGAAACAATGGGATATAATGCGATATGTTGAGTTTTTTTTTACCTGCTTAACATTCAGGTTATTAAAATTGGACCAGAGAGATCTACATTTGTCATTTCTAGAGAAAAAAGGAAAGCAAAATAAAATGATGCCCATTAATATTTGCATGTTAATTGTTAATCAAAATGATTGAAATCATTAATATTTGCATGTTAATTGTTAATTAAAAAATCGATACAGTGCTGTAAATATCAATACTCTTTTTTCTTACTCCCCTTATATACGCGCCCTGTGCTGAAAGCTCACTGCATCTGCGCTCAACTAGTCTGCCTTAGGCGGCGTTGTTGAGCGCAGATCCACTAAGCTGTGCCTCCCACATTTAGTCACACCAAGACGCTAAGACATGCAAAAGTAGTTTGTTGCAACATGGCTAATGGCTCAAATAAGGGGTGAGATTTGTTGTGATGCCACATGTGACAATTCAATTATACGTTTTGATTACCGTATTTTCCGGACTATAGAGCGCACCTGAATATAAGCCGCACCCACTGAGTTTAAAAAAAAAAAACAACTATAAATTTACACATATAAGACGCACCGGACTATAAGATGCCGATATCCAGGTACCCAAAAACTACCATGTTCTTTATACTGATTTCCCCTGTCTCTTGTTCTTGCACTTCCTGCTAGAACGCCCCCTGGCGGCTGAAGAAAGAACAGTTTATAAAAAAAAAACACGGTACTTTTTACAAAAAAATGACACACAACCGCAACATGCAGTAGGTTTTTTTTTTAAGGTGGCATGTCCTGATACCTTAAAGAATATTTAAGGTGGTCCATTCTTTAATAAGAAACAGACCACGAGTCCTGTTTATTAAGGATTTTGTTTTGATATTTATATTAATTATTACTGAATTAGCTGGCTTTTGTTTATTTATTGAGCTGTTTCTTTTTAATATATACTCGTTGTCATGTGCTATCGTATTGTTATGTGTCTCTTCCTTTGTCATCTCCTGGGCTGTTTGCCATTATATATGTGTTTCGGGGGCACAAGCAGCAAAGTCAGCATTTTGTTTGTCACTATCTTAATTTAAAAAAAGTGTGATAAACTAAAGGTAATCTGACATTATTAGATTACTACACAGTCAAAAGGGAAAAAGCTGTGAAATGTGAGTTATATTTGGATCAGTGGTTCCAGCTGGAGACTGTAACTCTGAGTCAATATGACAAAGAGGAATCATCTGTTCCTGCATCTGGAAGTATTTGAAAGACTCTCTTTAGTCTGGATCCTGACACATTGTAAAACTCTCTAAAGGGAAACAAAGGACCAGATGGAAGGAAGGGAAAACCAGGACCGAGAGGGACTAAGGTATGAAGAACTGAAGTCACTTTGTTCTTCACACCATCGCCTGGAAGTCAGGTTAATGTGACCGTGGGACCATGTCAAATATGATGAGTATGTTTGTCTTTTCTCAGGGTCCTTCTGGACAGAGGGGTCACACTGGACAACCAGGCCCTCCGGTAAAGCTGACAATTGACAATATTATTTTTCAAAATGATTTTGGGGCTTTTAGAATATTTGAATGTAGTAGAATTATTTGTAAAGCACTTTCAAAGGCTTTTCAACAGATTGAAAAGATTGCATTTTCCTACTTCAGTGGTTCGCAATTATTTTCTGCCACCCAGTACAAAAACGTTTTCACGCCCACCCATCCCTGCGAAATGAAAAACTATTGGGAAACTGATGTATACAGTAACACCTTGAGATCTGAGCATAATCTGTTCCAGGACCGAGCTCGTAACTGTAACTCAAATTATTTTTTTTCCATAAGAAATAAGAGAAAAAAAATTAAAAAACTTCAAGCATTACAGCATTTGTGTCCAGCGTGCCATATTCCCCCAAGGGCGGCCAGCCCAACTATTTAAAAAGTACTGGTCTAACGCAACAGGTCATAATATTTCAATACACAAACTGTGACTGTGACACAATAGATCAATCTGTGTGCACGAGTGCCAGTGTCTACTCTGTGCAGTGATACACAAATGTCTGTCTTTCTGTTGGTTTGTGTCTTGATACTTGAGACAAAGTCTGTCTAACACTATCACGTTGTGATAAGACATCATTCACTGTGTGTGTTTTTGTTGATTCCTTTCAGGGTTTCTCAGGCCTAGCAGGACCAGAGGGACCAGAAGGAAAGCCTGGTACACAGGTTCCCGTTCTCTATGATATATTTTCTCATATGTTGGATTTGTGCGTGCCTGTGTTTGTTAACGTTATTTCTCAAGTCATAAGTCATTCAACACTGATGTTAACAGCAGGGGGCGGTAAATGATTATTTATTGACCACCTGTTTTTTTTTTCTGTAAGAATTAATATATATATATATATTTGTGTAGAATTATTATTATTATTATTAGAAATAAAAACTTTCAGAAGTGTTTTTACACCATTTATAACAATTTGCTCCTACTTTCCTCTGTTTCAGGGTTTCTCTGGTGCAACCGGAGCTGCCGGCGGTAATGGACTGACGGTACGACAGCATTAGTGAAATGACCTCAGCATTCACGAAATGACATCATTATTTATTTTGCCGGCTGCTCCGCTGCACAGAAACACATTATTAGACCTTTATGAGACACTGCTGTGGAGCAGTTCACAGCCCTGTCAACAGGCCAACATGAAAGACGCCGATGTAATGAGAATATGGTCAGGTGGTTTTTATCGTCATGTTCCAACTGTTCTGCATGTTGTCAGTGGGGAACTTGAACCGTTAACGTATACTGCAATATTACTGCTTAAAATGGGAGCTTGTTCATGTTCTTGTCAATATAGTTTTTTAATTTAATTTAAATTCATGTGTCTGCTGACGTCTGTGACGTCCTCAGGCCCCCAGTCTGTGACGTCCTCAGGCCCCCAGTCTTTTCAAATAATGATAAAAAATAATAATTGAATGAAATTACACAAAGAAAGCCAGGGTTGCAGTTGGACAGATAATTCAAATTAATATAACAAAAAAATTTTAAAAATATATATATAAAATAAATAAATAAATCAGTGGGCTTCTAAAGAAAGTAACGTGGGCTGCATTGCACCCAATTTTAACATTACTAGGATTTGTACCCACAACTTTCAGGTCTTTTATTAGTGTTCAGGCTTTGACAAAACTGGTGACAGCTGACCTTCAGCACCACCAGGCTCCCTACTTAGACCTCCTTAGAAAGAAACCAGTGTCCACTACACTGATTGGCCCATGGAGTAAACAGTAACAACACACTACAGTGATGGGAGAGCAGTTGAAATGTGAAAGTTCTGCCTATCATTTTACTGAAATACTAAAGTGCCCCTCAGGCCCCCAGTCTTTTCAAATAATGATAAAAAATAATAATTGATTGAAATTACACAAAGAAAGCCAGGGTTGCAGTTGGACAGATAATTCAAATTAATATAACAAAAAAATTTTAAAAAAATATATATAAAATAAATAAATAAAAGTTGGATTGTGGGTAGAATTGAAGTCTGTTCATGTAACACTATTTTTTTTTTCCTTTTATACATTTTGTTATTTTCAAGACAAGTAAAAAAAAACACTTTGGTGTTATTTATAGTATTTTTGTTGTAATTATTTTTGCTCAGGGTGACATCATCTCCCTTTCAAGTAGGTGGCGCCCTAGGCAAACGTGGCCAATGCTAAGATCTGCCTAAGATGATGTCCTGGACACAGACTTTAGTTTGCCTTCGCTGATTTTCCAACTTTAACGTCATATTACAACAATACTGAAGACCAACGCAGCCTTTAAATTACCCATGTCCATAATTAAAGGGAGTATGACTTTGAGACTTGAGTCAAATGAAAAGACTAAAAGCAATAACACGGTTGATGAAGCAGCTGAAGTGCTGATTCACAGTTTGTCTTGACTGCACGTTCTCCTTAATTATCACAGAGATGACAAACGCTTTCAAATTTTCCGAGGTCTTTTGCTTAGATCATGGTGTTTTACTTGTACTTTCTATTTGTCAAGGGTTTTCCTGGCATTGTCGGGGAGTCAGGAGCAGATGGACCCCCAGGTCCAATGGTAAGTCCTGTCCCTGAACCACTGTGTGGGATTTTTTTTTTTGAAGTACCGTAACATGGTTATCAGCTCTTGAAACAAACGTATTCAAACAATTGCTGATGAGAACAGGGAGGTTTAAACTGCAGTTATCAAGAAAGTAACCTGTAGTTAATCATTCTCTGACACTGTCCTAACTATTGTATTCAGTATTCAGACAGGTCCAAGTTGACTGGTAATTTCGTTGAGTAACAAGGTTCTTTATCTGACAGGGTCCACCAGGGAAGACAGGACCTCCTGGTTTCACAGGACCTCCAGGAGAGAGGGTGAGTCCAGCCAAACGTCCAAAAGTGATGTTGTCTTTTATTTGTTCTTAACACGCTGTGTCTCCTCAGGGCTTCAGTGGCAAGTCTGGTGTGGAGGGACCTCAGGGCCCAGTAGGCATGTATGTAAGTGCTTCATGTTGTGTCTGTCACATGGAAAACACAAAGAGAGAGGATGGCTGTCAATCAATTCAAATCCTT